TATTACTCGTGCGAAAGGCGCCCACTGTCTGCATAGTCAATAAAAGATTGATGTGAGATCCCTCCTAGTTCGAGTCTCCTTTTATCTGCTAATAAAGCCCATGACACGGCTAAAGTAGACAAGCGAATGAGACTAATCTAGAAGAAAGACAGGAAAGACAAGAGGGCGTTTCTTTTGTAGGCGCCGTAATTGTCACATGGGAAAGAAGAGATGTGGCAGTGCTTACAACCGCGCACCCATATATCACTGCAGTGCCTTGAGGGGATTAAAATAGGGTATCAGTACTGTACAGGAGGCGATACGCCTAGTCAAAAAGATCGATGTACAATTATGATTACGCGGAACCGGTGGAAGAGGCTGGGGAATGTTGGGTATACATCAGTAAATCTGACTCTCTTTGAGTCTGTAGTGATAGCTTCCGATATCTATAACAGGTCCAAACCCGGACGAGATCCTGTATAGTATGTTAGCTTAGTGTATTGCACAAATGGCTCGGTTCGTACCAACTGACTCCCGAATATCAATGCCGCCATGACAGGTACTGTTGTAGCAATGATGAAAGGAGAAGATCTAGTGAGAAAATGGGCTACACCTACATGTCGCCAGAATTATGTCGAATGTTTGGTTTTGCTGCCAAGCTATGACATATGCGACAGCCATGCTGCAACACAGAAAACGGACCGTGAGTGACACCCTTAGATCCATCATTGATCTAACTTACCCAAATGCTAAAGTCCCAAGGACACTGAAGACCATCACACGAATCACCAACGTTATCGACTGACTAGTACTTCCAGAGATAGCGTAGCGCTTTTCGTAGAGCCGATAGACAATCACGCCTAATCCAGGAGGATGTGTTACGGTAATGAGATCGAGGGAAGGAATCGAAGTGACCTTGAAAGGACAGGTTGAGGACCATAGTCGCTAAAACAATCATTGAAGAGATCTTTGAACTGCCCGTGGACATAATGAGACTTAGACTACACCGTTAAACAAAACCGGGCTTACAATGTTGGCTTGGCAAAATGACAATATGTGTTGCTGGGTGATCTCCCGACAATGTCCCCATGTGCATTGCCATACTGGTGAAGACCCATGAAGGAATCACGTTAAGGAATCTAATAGAAAGTACGGCTTACCAGTAACAAACCCAGAAATTCAACAAGCCATACAGCGTAAGGGACCAATACCAGCTTTGGGCTCAGGTCACTTTCAGGCCATACACATAACGTTCCGAGCGGCTCACTGCATCCACCCTTGAGTCCTCTTTAAACGGTCGGTTAGTTACAAGGCGACGCAGATTAAGAAGCGTCTGCAGATGGGTCGCGCAATCAATGTATTAGTTATGGGCCCAAAGAACAATAAAGCCGGCGCACGTGGACGACGAGAGCCATAGTTGTGCATCCGGTCCTGCCAGCGAAAGATTTATCAACAGCATAGGAGTATATGCATGACAGCCTTACAAACTTGGAGCAGCATATATGAGGGCTCCTTGTACTAAGCACAATCCAAAATTCGGCGGAGGTCCAGTTCTTTGACCCGCAAAGGCGAGAAGGGTATATGAGACGGCAGAAAGCAACCAGGACCCCATGAAACTGTACCACGTCGAGTACCGTTTCACCGCGTGTCCTAGCTTAGCAGTGAGAATGATAATCAACATGGCAGTTCCACCGATTAGCTGGAGGATAATGAAAGATAAAGCGGCCCGATCGTGTATAAGCTGTTCGCTGGACTCTGATAAACCAATTCAGCAAGCCCACAATAGTTTGGACAATATGCATGTTCACCTTGTGAAATTGGCGGGGAGAAAGTCGACATGGCAGTTGGTAGATCAAGTCAGCACAGAGCGTTTAAAGAGAAGGCACTCTGTGGTGATTCGAGACCAAGACTCGGAACCGACTTTCCTGATGTCCTCAAGGCAGATGTACAGTGGGTGCAACAGAAAGAGCGATGGGCGAGATGCGACATACTTGTGTCGGTAGATCAGTCCAGCTTTTGACTCGTCACATAATTACAGACGGCGCCTCTTCTGTCGATGTGCCTATGATGGCATCCGTCAATTATAAGATGGGGGTAACTTTATTCGAGATCATTCTAATTTGTAGGGATCTTCCATTGCCACACCCCTGGGGAAGGACGGGATATGAAGCGAGAGGCAGTGGTCAAGTTATCCTTGGCCAATGATATCGAGTCAAAAACGCTTCACCACGCCACTTCGTATGCGAAGCAGTACATATCGTAGTTGACTGGTTGCGCCAGAGAAGCACTGACCAGACGCTGGTCGTCGTTTTCCCATGTCCTAGAAATAGCGAAGATGGACGTTCAGAACATAGTTACAAGGCGACGCCGCCAATGGAGACGGCAGCTGCGGACGTAATCACCGACTCACTTCCACTTTCAGGCTGTTGCGCAAAGCTACTTCTTCTATTCGTTTCTCCGTATCCATCAATTCATCGGGAACATGTACAGGGTTAAATGAACCTCTTCACCTGCGAGAAGACTGTAAAGTTGTTCAATCTCCACGCTCGATGATTCGTATCAGGGCATCTCTGCCGAGTATTTCGACGCCATCTATCTCAATATTGGTCGTAGGCGGTCCATCGAGCGGTGATAGTGTAGTGGGATATCTAGCAAACCTT